AGCAGAGGGAGACATTAATCCTAACACAAATCAATTACCGTACAAACTTTACATGTGATTACTGTACCATTAGAGGTGCTATTTGTAATCTCACACCAGCTTTCTGACTTTAACAAATTTATTATCTGTAATGTATCCCCCTTTGGCCCTGTCTAACCCTATTCGAGGCAATACTCAGGACAATTCCTATAGCAGCGGCCTCCCAGAGCCTCCTGATGCTCCCTCCACAAGCCCAGAGCATGTCAGGGAAAGAGAGGGCCTAACAGCATGGTAGTTCCTTATTGCCACTGCTTTGTGACTGGAGCCAAGAAAAAGAAGAGAGAGTCTCTGGGTTTCTCACTTCTATGTCCTTCTGTGAAAACCATGACACTTATTTTTCATAATTTAAAATCCTGCCTTACTCTGGGAGCATTAGAATTCCTAGACTATGACTGAGTATTAGTGTGTGTCTGCTTTAAATGTCAAGAGAGTCTTTAATAATAACATGTAAGGAATGTTAAGATGGTGGCAGGGTACAATAAAAGTAGGGAAATTCTTCGATTGGGGTGAAATGAGCCATATATTGCCCACCACCGGAATGCTGTAGTTGGTGTGAAAGAAATCATTTAAAAGTTTTTCACTGGTACTAAGTTCTGAAGCCATAGTTTTACAAGGCAGATCAGAAATAACTGGTAAATGCTCAGTTTGGTAGAGTAATTTGAGTTCTGCTCCTTCTAGTCACTGCTTTTTCTCCCCCTTGTTTTCTTCTTTTGAGTGTATGTACTTTAGAGACCTGTGTTATTGGATATACCCTACCTAAGTAACTGAATATGCTCTGCCTAAATCAGGTTAATCTGGATCATTGCATAATAAACTACTGAGGAAACCTGTAAGTTTTAAGGCCTGCTCAGTCCATGGCAGAGAGTAGTGTCTCCCGCTTAACTTGATTTAACTTGGACACTTCGGGTCCTTATTTAAAAATACCTACTTCCCAGTCTCACCATTGGAGTGTTGGCTCCAGCACGTTTAGGTGAAACCCTAGTCGGTTAAATTGGAAATCATCGTTGTGTGGGGTAATCGGAACTTATCCACTCATTTAGGTACCTGTTAAAACTCTGTGTCCCCTCTTCCATGGAGGTTCTTTGAAAAGATATTACTTTTCATAATTTAAAATCCGGCCCAACTCTGGGAGCAGTAGTTCAGCATGACAGCTGAGAGAGAGACTAAGACTTGTAATTTCAGTTATTGTTTCAGGTGATTCTTAGAATCACACTAGTGTGGTAAATCAGACAAACCATCATATAACTGGGAACCTAGTCTTACTTCTCCTCCTTCCCAGTTCCCTGACCTCAGATATGTTTACCTTGCAAACTTCAGTTTCCCCAGTTATAAAACAGAATAGACCTAAGGGACTTGAAATAGTCACAGTAGCCTCTTTAAATCAAAGGAGTGTCTTCACCCTTCCTTCTCATCTGTCCTCAAGAATTCTAGCCTTTTTACACATAAAAAGCCTTTCATTTATTTCAGCAGAGTTTTGTTTCTCATGAGTGAGAACCGCCAATTGGCCTTGAAATGATTAGTCCTTCTGACAACATAGAAAATGATGATGTTAAATGAACCCCAAACCATGTTCCCTTTTCTCTGTTAAAAGAATGAGTTTAATCTCAGTGTGTGTCTTTGAGGATGTTGAATGGAGCTCCTCGCCTTTGGCAGTTATCAGTGGCTTGGGTGCGATACAGAAATTCTGATCTTCTGCAGCCCAGACTATCTCAAACCTAATTTGAGGCTATGGCTAATCGAAGAGGAGATGACCTATTTCAGCCAAAGGGTAGAAAAATATTTGCCCAAGATGAGGGGAAGATACAGTGAGAACCTGAAACAAATTGATAAGAAGTGGGCTTCATCTTTCCTTCGCTTTTGGTACCATTCTTTAAATGATCAAAATTATTTCTCTTCCCAGTTAGCCCTACGGCAAACTCCATTGAACCCCTGTTAGGCAGATCCAGATTTCAAACATATAGTCAGCCAGTAGAAGTCTAGATACACCGGACTGATTTCACTTTTCTTAAAAAAAAAAAAAAAAAAAAAAAAAGAAAATTGTTGAGCATTCATAAAGCACTAGTCATTTTGCTAAGCTTGTTATGTGCAAGAACGTGTCTGATCTTCAGAACACCCCTTCAGAGTTCAGAGATTATCATTCCATATTTAGAAGGAGAAACTAAGTACTTAAAAAGGTTATGTAATGTGCTGAGAGTCACTGAGCTAGGATTTGAACACAGTACAGTGTGATTGCTCTGTCCACACCATTTACCCTCTACCACCGTTGTACAGAACAAACTCATAGATTAAAATGACCCCTGCACAAGCAACTTCTCTTACGTTTAGGCCGTTGTCATTCTTTTTATGCTAGATACTCATTCCATACCCACTGGGAAAGTTTTTTAGAGAGTAAATCTCTTTTGATATTTCAACACAAATTTTAATTTGTCAACCAAATTTTAGTGGGCCGTTGGCTTGAATGCCTCAATCTGCTTTTCATGGAATTTATAGTTTAAGAGGAAATGCTGGAATATAGTTGCTAATACTAAATGTTTGTACCCTCATCTTTTAATGAAAGGATGCCGTGAAAATTGATGGGGATAGTGAGCTCATGGGATGATGGCATAAGTAGTAATAAAGAATGTGAAAGCTTCTGGAAGGCTCAGTTAGTATGATAAATGCAAGACGGCCGCTGTAGACAGGGTGTGGTTTCAATAGGTGTGAATGTTTAGCCTTTTTGCCTAAAAAAAAGAAAAACTGAATCTAGTGGGTTTCTTTCTGTAATTGTTAAAACAGTTTGTGTTAGAGCTATAATTGATTTAAAGTCCAAAACTCTTTCAAGAATATGATACTATCTGTTAGTTAACACTAACCAAACAAAACCAGAAAGTTAGAGCTAGGGTGGTAGAATTGAGGTTCCTGGGTAACTCTCAGAATGGATGATGAATTCTAAACAATGTGCTCATGGAAAAATATGAAAACGTTTCCAATGGCAGTTACCTCCAGGGTTTATAGAAGTGGCTGTGTATACAAATTTTAGGTATGTGTTTGCAATGTAGTGTTACTACCTTTGCTGATCAGTAAAAGATCAGCTTGGTAGACCTCTGGCTAGAAATATGGAGAAGATGATTCCTTTTAATGCCGGAGATTTGGATTTTCCTTGCACCACACTTAGTCTTTATAACTGCTGCATCAACAATGTTTACCCCCAAAGTCAGTCACAATTAATATTCAGCAGACTTCAGTAAATATCACCTCTCACCCTTTAATTTGTATTGTTCAGCATGGCAGATTACTTCTTGTTTTTAAGCAAAATACAATTGATTTCTTAATTCCTTCTGCCCCATGATAACTTTAAAACACATTTCTTAAAAAGTCTGAGTATTTGACTTCAAAAAACTTAGGATACTTACATTAAAAAAAAAAGTAATGGCAGAAAAATATCATTCCCAACAATTTAATTGTTCTAAACCACTTTGGAAAACTAAATTCCTTTAGCACTATGTATTCAGAGAATCTTTTAGTTTGGCTGTTCAATAACTTACTAAAGAACAGAGAAGGAATACCATCAAGTGGCTCCTAATATGGTATCATTTTCATTTCCTGTTTGTTGAAAGATAAATGCTAACACTGTAAGGCCTTTTTTCTTCCTTTCTTAATTTATTCTTCCCTGAACCACAAGGGAATAAAAAGAAAAAAAAATCAAATGTGATATGGCTTGAGACTGAGTCATCCATTAGGGATCAGCTGGAAGCTTTTTCCCTTCTCCCTTTTGTACTCTTTCCCTTTTCTCTGCCTTTCTACAACCCCCAGCCCCCTTCCCCCTTCTTCCTTAGAAAATAACTGTATTTAAATATATAAGGTGTGTGTTTTTTAATTTGGGAATAATTTCAGACTTGAAAAAAACAGTTGGTTTTTAAAGGATTTAAGGTTAATTATGTGGCAGAACTAATGAGTCCCTCCTCAACTCTACGGCATTACTTTGGACAGATGATCTACAGAAGTATTGAAATTAAACTGTATTCTCACCCTCTCCCCTTCTTTCTCTCATATTAATCTCTTCTCCATTTTCCCTAAATGCCACAGCTGTTCTCTTAACTATCCCTTTATCTTTAGGGGACATATTTCCCACTTCTTTTATAGGAGTAATCATTATGTGTCCCCTATGCCCAACTGTCTTGAACTATCGAAAATATCGAGTTAAAGCAGTCCAAGTGAAGCATAAAGGATGTACCTTCCACTAAGTAGTATTTGAGTGCCTACTATGTATATACAGTTAGAAACTTGTGTCTTCAGAAGATTGTTTTTTAGAATAAGGAGACTTAAATTATTAAGATGAGACTAGCACATAGCAGGTACTCAAATCTTGAGTAAATGAATGAACCACCTTATTCTCCACTCGTTTGAAAATGGGAACCTGTCATCCCTTGTAGCCTGCTCCTGGCCTACTAATACCACTTGCCAGCACTGTCTTAATCTATGGCTACCTGTTTAGAAAGATGAAGTTAATTTTGCATAAATGTATCCATCTGTCTAGGAGTTTTTCCATAACCACAACAGATGAATTTATGGGTTTTAGCTACCTAGCTAGCTCATTTTCCTTTGGATTTTCTAGCTCATTTTCCTTTGGATTTTCTCATGAATAAGGTTGGTTAATAGGTGTGATTCACATTTGTCTTTTAGCTGTCTGTGTTCCATGGGACTGCATGGTGCCAGCAGGTCTAGGGACTGCATGGTGCCAGCAGGTCTAGAACTTCCAGTGAATGTCTGATGTATCTTGTGTTGAGAAATCTCACACCAACACCTCCAGTTACTTCAAGTTTGGCAGTGGTCATGTAGATTTCGAAAACAGTTAAGCAATGAAAATGATTTTATCATGTGCTGTGGTGCCATAGTGTAATTTGTAATATGTATCATTTATGGTATTAAAAGAGTCATGCATCTTTATTCAGAGAAATAACAGAGCATTTTCTTCCTGCTAGCTTGCAAAAGACAAAGAGCGCCTGCAAGCCATGATGACCCACCTGCATGTGAAGTCTACAGAACCCAAAGCCGCCCCTCAGCCCGTAAGTCATGATCCCCACCAAGGGGAGAAAACAAAACTTACAGCATTCCTTTTCTGCTTCCCCACCCCAAACATAGGAAGGAGGAGCAGCCTGCTTTGGTAGAACTTTGAGTTTTGAAGGCCTTAGATTCATGTGACTGTTTCTGGTTACCCTTTATGACAAAGGTAGTATGCTAGGCACTTGGGAATACAGGATGATTCAGACATGGTCCTTGCCCGTAAGACTCAAGCATTCAGCTCTTCTTTAAGGGCAGAATGACTGGTGCTAAAGCAAGGTACTGAAATACATTATGAGAGCTCCTTGGAAAAAGGAAGTCTTTCTGAATGGTAGGAAAGCAGAGAAGACAGCCAAACCATGACAGCAAAGGAAAGAGGCATTTCAGCTCAGGTAAGCTGAGAGACAGTGATGCGTGAGAAAAAGAGAAGGGACTAGTCCAGTCCAACTGTAACAGAGGAAAGCCATAAGAAACTTACTGTTGGAATAGTCAGAGGCTAAGTTACGGAGAGGCTGTAATAGTTACTAAGGAGTTTGAAATGAAAATTATTCCTTGAAAGTTAGGAGCACAAACATAGTATACTGAAATTACATTCAATTTATAAGAATCTCCTCTTTCTTGCCTTGTTCCCTTTTACTGGACCCTGAAGGGCGTCATCCCAGCACAGGCTGTTAATATCGAAGCAGAAGGATGGTGTCTGAACCTAAAATTTTGTCTTGGACCTCCTTCCTTTTTAATGAATGGATCTCTTTAATGGTTATATTTCTCTTACATTGCTAAAATTCTTCTAGTAGCTTTAACTGATTATTCAAAATGGAGACAGTGCTTTGCTCCTTGATTTTAAGATTTGTAAAATTTAAAGGTACACTGCCTTTATTTGATTTTGCTTGGAGTCACTGTGTGAAAATTAATTGAGCGTTGACAATCTATAGTTAGTACCAGCAATTTTAATCAATATGCAATGATGCAGCATAATGGCAAAGTATTGGTTTATCTGTTTTGACTGATTTTTTTTCTATAAATAAAGCAAACATACACCCATATATGTATGATTTATGGTGATAGAAATAAAACGGAGTCAGACTATTAACCCAGCAAATATGGTAGCCTGCCAAGATGCAGTTGGCAGGCAAAATTAATGTCTGAAACAGAACACATTACTGAGATATAGGACATAAAATCATTAAACACCTCGCGCATCCATTTTTACTCGGAAGGAGTCTTTAGTTGCCATGTATTTTACAGTAAATGGCTGTAGGACTGGTTGTGTAGGCTACCAAAAAGAAAGGAAAAAGGAACCAGGTCATTCAGCCCTGTGGCATCAGTAGTCAACTGTGCTGTTTCTAACAACCCGTCCTGCTCAAGGAGGGTATTGGGAAGATAATGAACCCAGCTAAGCAAATTGGTGAGCCTCTTAGACCACTTGGCTGAAGTCATCTCAAAGAGTCATAGCTGATTGCATGAGACATTCACAGCCCTGGAACTTTCTGAAAGTGTTTAGATAGCTTTAGTGAAACAGTTTTCCCAGATTGAACGGTTTGAGAGTTTTCACCCAGCAACAAGGAGGAGAATGAGATTATCTCTGTCTTCTTGCACGGATCAAAAACAGTGATAGGATAATGGTTGGACCCAGCTCTGTAGGTGTAGATCTTGGGCTCCTAGGGAGGAGGAAGGATACAATTAAAGGGAAGGAAATGCAAAACCCCATAGGGGGCTCAGCGAGTGACTGGGCTGAGTGTTGGCAGAGAGCACCATGTATGTAAGCCCCCATGGGCCACAAAAGGACCACTGGGATTCTCCACATGGACCAGAGTAAGCAGCCAGTAAACAGGGAGAAGCCAGCTATGGGGGAAATGAACAGGGATGGAAAGTTTGCCTTGATTAGTATTAAAAAAAAATGTTTTACATTCTAGAAAATTATAACTTTGAAGGGGACCTCCTACTAAATTTATTTTTAACTGCTCTATTGAAAATTCTCTACCACTAGTCAACATTATCTCTTAGTAGCTCAGCACAGTATTTCTTTATTAAAAGAAATAGGCACGAATATTTTTGACTGAAAAATTAATAGCTTTTGAATTCATACACAGCAGGTTTTCTTTTGCAAAGAAGTCCAATATCGCTGCACAGCACTTCTATAACCATTTATTTAGAGTCCAAGTCAAACCTTTGACAGCTGGAGCAGCGCTACAAGCCAGCATAAAGAACTCCAAGATGTAAACCAACAATAGGCCGTCTGTGTGAGGTTTGCCATTGTCAAATACATAGATTGTTTGGATTAGTTTATGTAAATGTACCGTTGTATTACCCTTTGAGAAAAAAAAGATCACATTTGTGTATGAAAAGTGGTTCCCTTCACAGGCAGCATTATAAATTCCTGATCCTTTAACTTACATGTAAGAAGTAAAAATTGGTGCCTGACAAGCAGATATTGTGTGACACTCTGTTGTCAGAGTAAACCTGCCTTCTTTTCATTTATTGGAAAATAGAAAATTTTATTACAGATACCATCTTATAAATCAGGAATTATTAAAATATGTATAGGTGAGGCATTGGGAAATTAATTATAAAAAGTAGATGTGTAATGTTTTGCATAAATTTTCACTTCTTTGCCAAAAAGAGAAAAGAAAAAAAAAAGAAGGGCACACACATCCAGCAAACCCTTGATGCTTTCAACTTTAAGGGCCCAGAGCTATCTGGTGACTGATAGTCACATGCAAAATTCCTGCAGTCTGTAATTAATTTATTCTGCCCTAAATAATAGAATGCATGGAGTTTGTTTGAATGAGTATCCTTCTAGAATCTTTCATTTGAAACAAGCAGTCACCAGGATTCAAATCTAACCATAGATAGGGACTTTCATGTTACAACCTTGCCAGTAAGTTCATGAAGCTTTTTCTTTTTTCCATTTCTGTGTAAAAGCAACCTCATGTTTATTTTAAAATTCTTAGTCACTAAGTGATAGAATGCTTTGCTGTAAATGTTGCTTTTCACTAAATGCCATTTGGGTGTTAAGTGTCATTTGCTGTATCCAATCATTCAACCAGTCCTCAGTTCATTGCATCAAAGAAACTGCTAAAACATTCTTAGGTTGTTTTTACATCCGCTCATAGACGCATTTTCTGGATCCTATTGTGGGATTCATCAGATTTGGATAGTTACAGGATACACTCATCTTGGGAAGGTGCCCAAGTTTTTAGACATGGATCTGAGGCAGAAAGCTTATGGGTGAACTGGGACAGGAGCTCACAGGAGGCTTCCCCTCCCTCAGACTCCTTCGACAGCCTTTCTTCCTGCTTGCTGTCACATCTCTTTAAACCTAAGTAAAACCTTCCTTTCAGAACAGAACCAAAGACTCAAAGTGCAGGTCAGTTATGGAAAGGGAATTCCTGCATTTACAGTCAGACTATTCCAACAACCAGTATTTCTTGAGCATGTGACATACAAAACAAAAAGTAGTCCATCACATGAGCGAGGCCCATCCCTGCCGTGGAGGTGTTTGGAGTCTGGTAAAAGAAATTGGGACGTAACTACACACACACTCACACATTATCACTTTTCGTGAATTGCACTACCTGTAAGTAAAACAGCTGACCCAGAATGGTAAAGTCAGGGGAGACTTCGGGAGAAATGACATGTAGGCTGAAACCTAAAGATGAGTAGGAAGAAATGCTAAGAGGTCAGCTTCGTGGACCTTAGGTTAAGAGTAGGTGCACGAATTGGTCTCTTGAGTGGCGAGAATCAGTGTGGAGGAAGAAAAGAAATCACCAGCATCAGTTAAGACAGGCTTTTCACACTTTTAGTTTTATTAAGTCTGGAACCTGCATGGAAGTATATAACATGTGTAAGTTTCAAGAGCAGCCCTAAGTTCTAGCAATCAGGTACATAGAGCAGAAAAGCAGTTCTTGAGTATTTAGAATGGCCACATTTCTTGTTATTTTTTTAAAAGATTCTATTCTTTCCCATGGAAAGAGAAGCAAAAACAAGACAATAGTAAACTGCCCTGATGAAAATAATTGATATTCTTTTGTTCCAAATTCAGTAAACATTCTCAAAGTAAACACCCAAGTGTATTTCTTGGAGGTGAATTTCTCCATGCTAACTCTATGGAGAATTTGCCAAGATTATTTCATTTGGGGGAGGGAGTGAAAAACTAAGAGGACAAAACAAAAACATGTCTGTGGTATGATGACTCTATTAAATTGCTACGGATTTCTTAAAAAGACTTCACTATCTGTCATTATGTCAGGAAAACACTGTAAGTCGTATTTTGTAATACTGAGGACATGAGAGGTACGCTTTGCTTCGGGGTATTCCTACACATCAGAGAACAACTCCTGCTCCTGGAGAAACCACATTCTTTTAGATTTGGTGGGCACGTAATTATAGTGTAGGTGGTATATCCTTCTTGCCGAAAACCTTATAAAACACTTACAGGAACTTGGATATTTGGAATGAAACACAGTATTAGATTTTCATTTTTACACATTTTCTTTTCCTCTAACCATAGCAATTAGGACTGTTTTGAAAGCGTTTTTAGCTCCTATTAAAAACAAAGTACCCCCTGAAAAAAAGGGTCTTTTAACTCTTCAAGGATCATTTGGGCTGCCTGGGTCCTTGCTTTAGAGTTGGAGAAATAATATTAAGCAGTCATAAAAAGGGATTCTCAGGCACAACACACAAAAGCTGATTTATATACTGTTTTTCATTAAGTGCCCCCGCCCCCACCAGAACTAGAGTTTTTTTTTCTTCTTCCTTTTAGTATCCCTGCCAGTACCACTACTTTCTAAGTTACGGCCCTCCATGAGCACCGTCTCTAAAACATGGCCAGGCTGAGATGGTAGAGGAGAGCAAAGACTTGTAACAAGGGCCTCCAGCTGCCACCCACTGTCCTGCTCTCTGCTCGGCCTTGTACCATCCCTCCTGTCTCAGAAAGGCCGTGTCTGAACTCAGTGATTCATGCCTAGAAACGCCACCGCCATGCAGTTAAGGCAGGACTTCAGCTGGCTCAGGCCAGTAAAACCAAGAACAGAAAAACAAGTTCTGTGAGCCTGAAAGTCCCTACTACGCAGTTGTGTCCCTTGGTGTTTGGGTTTCAGGTCTGTCTTTTGTTCTCAGAATCTGTTTTCATGTGAGGCAAGAGCACAAACAAAAATAAAAATGAGTTCTTATGGGAATACTTACAAGTCTGTTTCTGTCAGGGGTTTACATCAGCGGTTTATTTATTTTTTTAATGTGAGTGACTCATCATCTTTAAACAGGAGGGGAGATCTGACTGTTAAAAACTAGTTTTCTTTTAAAGGACTAAGCAGAATAGTGGGTAGCTGACGAAGTTTGAATAGTTTCGATGGCTGAAAGAAAAACTGATGCCTGAGAGTACAAATAAATTTAAAATATAAAACCCGACAGCAATTTTAAGTGACATAAGAATTTAACTTTTGGCCAGAGTTTCAAAGAGATTATCTTTGCTGAAATCATCACATGATGGAAACTTGCCATGTAGAAAATATCAGAGTTCTGACTTTTCTAAACATAGCAACTTTTTTAAAATAGAAAATGAACACAATAAGAAAAATAGGCTTTCCATCAGGAAGAGAAACCCTCCCAGCATTCCCTTCCTGCTCCATGCCCTAGAAAAAATTATCTTTTCAAACCTTAACTACAATCAAACACAAAGCATAGATGCTTTCATTTCTAATTGATGATTATATTAAGATTTAATGGTTTACAATTAAGATGAGTATTTCAAGATTACAGCCAAAACCCACACCGTTCCCCATTTGCTCTTCTGTTCTAGGTCTGTAATTAATTTTTTTTTGGGGGGGCACCGTTTTTCAAAGAGGCCTTAATTAAAAGAGCAGGTTTGGTTTGAACACAGAGCCTGTTTTCAGTCTTTCTTCTCCATTCTTTCTCTCTCTCACCCTTCCCTTTTGAAAGTGGTTTCTCTTCAGGACAAGCACATGATCATCGAACAGAAGTTTAAAAGTTAAGAAACTTCTATATCAGTTGACAAGGTTGACATTTCATTAACTTGTTGGTTCAGCCTTCAAACGATTTTGTGTGGCAGAGCACCCTGTGTTTGGAGTGTACAGCTTTTTCTTCTTCCCTCCCTCATAGGCTACAGTCATGTTTAATTTGGAATCTGGGCTCCTTTGGCAAATTAGCAATTAGAACAATTTTGTGGGAATATGTATATGTGTCATTAGTTTTCCTGCAAATTAATAGCAAGGGCAGAGGTCAGGCAGAAATTTTCCACTTGACTGCAGCTCCTCTATTGAGACTTGGCACTTGGTTTTGGAATGGCCACAGCTGCTCTCAGCCACCCTCTTCCTCTAGGAACTGTCTTTTAATTAGTTTACCTCATAGCCATCATTACAAATATTACTGCCTCCCCTCCTCGAAATAAAATTACTGTTTCTACAAAATATTCCAGTGACATCTTGCACCACTGCACATTGATGGTGGGGTCACTCAAATGCAGCGTTTAATCATTAGATCACCTCCATCCGCGTCTCCTAATTAGAGTCCTTACAATACATTTTTATCTGGTAATTAGCTGAGATTGGCTGCTTCCTCTGTGGCTTATTAGAGACAGCCCAGCAGTGGGTGTGAATCACGGTGTCATTTGTCAAGCCTGGTAAGCCCCCTCTCTGCTCTCTTCGGGCTCAGTGTTTATTTCCACTTGCTATGTTCAAAAGCCTCCAGAAAATTCTACCTATCTCTCTTCCTTTGTGGATTATGCTAACTTGGAGGGATTTTATTTTTCACTGTTGCCTTTTTTTGGTAGAGTCCTAGTGGTGAGATCTTGGCGAAAGCTACAAGAGTCACATCCTTTCTGCTTTGATGACATTTTATTGTGGGATTTGTCTATTCTTCTTTGCTGTGAGCACCCAAAAAGATGACCTTGCACTTGCTGAATGAGTTTTGATTTCTGACATTGAAACTAGAACTCAGTAAACTTGGTGATCTTCCTCCCAAAACTGGAAGGGAACATGGATGAAGGACATTGTAATTTTTATTGCATCTTAAAAGAAAGCCACAGTGTTTAGGGAAATGTTCTTAAACTGAAAAGTGAAGCCAAGAAGCATAGTCAGTCCTCAGAATTGCATTGTGGTTACTGTGTATCTTTGCCTTTGACATAGGTGTTTGATGGTAAGCACTTTAAGGGCAGCAATTAGGTGTTTTTTCCCTCTTTTTGCCATTATAGAACTAACTACCTTATATTTGCTCAGTTACACATGTTGAATGTCATGGATAAGCAAGGATAAAATGCTTTGCACAAAATCTTTTCCAAAAATGAGTATACAGAAAAATGAAACTGGTTAGTGTTCATTTTTCCCATTAACTATGCATAAGATGATTATACAAAGGATCGAGAATCATACAAGTGTGTGGTTTGACTTTGGGTCTGGGTTGGGAATATGGGCCAATTATTTAATCTCGCCAAGCCTCAGTTTGCTTATCTGTAAAATATGAGTAATAACATCTCAGATATTAGTGGTGGTCGGAGAATTAAAGGAGACCACACAGTGGCAGGTGGTTTCAAACATGATTTTTATAAATGTTACCCGTGACTTTCCAAAGTGCTCTGAGATTCCTAGGCTTAGCAACGTCTGAATTATAAAAGCTGTATATTTATGAGCATTAGCCTTTCATGCACTAATTTCCTTGACCCTTTGCTTGGGCTGATGCTTATACGTACTGTTCCTGGACTTGGTCAGTGATTAAGGCCCGAGGTGAAGAAGAGGTCAGCCCCAACTCTTCCCCCCTTGGCTTCTCAGCTGTGCCCCATCCTGCGGCTGCTACTCTGAACTGTTCACACTTAGTTTGCAAATGTGTGTCAGAAAGTCACGTTTCCAGCACTATAGAGGAAAAGCAGCTCCCAGCATCTGCTCAGCTTGCTGGGGCATTTGTAAGGGCAGGGCCATCTCCATAACTTGCTCTTCATGGGGATTGTCTGTTGCTCACCAATTTAAAAGTCTATGCTGAAAATAAAAAGGAAAGCACAACTCAACGCTCACAAATTCCATTTCCAGCGCCATGTTTACATTTTTCCATTGGTTTTTCTTCATATTTGATCTTTCTTTTCTTCAGATTCATTGCTTTTTTTTATGAAACTCCCCCAAACATATTAGGATTCTCATGGCCTTTTTTTTTTTAACTAGAGTATGAGTAAAGGTCGAGTCTTCCCCACATATTGGAACTCTCTTTTAATAAGTTCTTTGATTATGATCTCAGAGGAATCTCATTTTTAATACCTTCCACAAATACTGCCTTGTACTTAAGACTGACTGTAGCGATGGTGAATTAGACTTCATGAAATAGACTTACTGTGGTGAGTGATTTGAAATCTGGTTTTCGAAAATGTTACCAAGTAAGCCTACTTTGCCAAAGACGTTTCTTGGATTTTAGGTTGGGTCTTTGTATCTGAGATAGCATATAAACAGTAATACGCTGAAAACAACCAAATTCTTCAGCATTGCCAGATATAAAATAATATTTCTCTTCTAACATGTTTTGGAAAAGGGTTATCCCTTTTAGTATTTGTTAGAACAGTACTTCAGGGTGAAGGTAAGAAAGATAAATTGAAACAGTGGTCATTTATTTTCTTTCTTTCCTTTCTTTTTTGAGGCAGAGTCTCACTCTATCACCCAGGCTAGAGTGCAGTGGTGTGATGTCAGCTCACTGCAACCTCTGCCTCTTGGGCTCAAGCTGTTCTCCCACCTCAGCTTCCCAGGTAGCTGGGACTACAGGCGTGAGCCATGACATGTGGCTAATTTGTGTGTGTTTTGGGTTTTACCATGTTGTCCAGGCTGGTTTCAAACTCCTGGGCTCAAGAGATCCTCCTGCCTCAGCCTCCCAAGGTGCTGGATTACGAGTGTGAGCCACCATTCCTGACCTATTTTCTTCTATCCTACTTCAAATAAGTAGTACTTATTTACTAACTTGAAGCAGATTATTTCCCATTTTATAGAAGATTCAGAACTTGAAGGAAAAAATTTCAGCAAAAACCTCACAATTCCAGATCTCCGTATTCTGTAAAAGAATGTCACATGAAAAAAAAAATTAACAGATACCAAGCCTTTATTTGATAGACTGAATAAAGATTACCCATAAAGCTTTTAAGGCTTGTTTTCTGCTAACTGATGGAAACAAATGTCAGCTTGCGGGATCAGCAACATCACTCATACTCATATGAGTGATGGGCCACACATATTTGCAGTAGTGTTTGTCATCCAGGAAGCTGCATGATGGCCTTCAGTAGTCTCTCCTGGGCCTCTACTCCATTAGTAGTCTCTCTCTTCTCAGGCTCACTCAGGTAGGTAGCCCCTTTCTGAGCCTTTTGAAAAGAGACTGCTGCCAGAGATATCTTATGCTACCTCCTAAGTGAATTGCGTTTATGCAGGACTCAACTTGTGTTTCGGCTCATGGTAGATGTATCTACTTAGAGAAAGAGCACTGTCCATGCATCGTCTGTATTACTCCTGCTGGATGTGTGGTTCCTGTGTTGCTCTGTTTTCCTGAAGGTCTTCTAAGACGTGTATTTTCCCTCACAGCTGAATCTGGTATCAAGTGTCACTCTCTCCAAGTCCGCATCAGAGGCTTCTCCACAGAGCTTACCTCATACTCCAACGACCCCAACTGCTCCGCTGACTCCCGTCACCCAAGGCCCCTCTGTCATCACCACCACGAGCATGCACACGGTGGGACCCATCCGCAGGCGGTACTCAGACAAATACAACGTGCCCATTTCTTCAGGTAGATACTCCACGTTTTGCCTCACGTAGAGTTGTAATCTGCAGTTCTTGTAGACCAGCCCGTTTTTAAAAAGTGATAATTAATAGGACAATGATTCTTATTCAGCAGATATTGCGCAGAACCAAGAATTTTATAAGAATGCAGAAGTTAGACCACCATTTACATATGCATCTTTAATTAGGCAGGTAAGTAAATAACACAGTATATGACATTCTATCAAAAGGTGTATGTGTACATGGATATATATTGATGAAGTAGATTTAAAGCCGTTTAGTATGCAAGCATGCTGAAACCTTTTCTATAAGGTTTTTAAAAACTGCAATATATAACATAATTGCTTTTGATTAAGTATTACAATACGATGTGATTATTAGGAAATTCATTTCACACAACAGTGAAAATGAGCCTGTTTAAAGATGGCAAGTCAATTATCACAAGCTACAGTAATCTCTGATCCCTAGAATTAATCTGAGCTCTAAATAATTACTGAGCTTTAATCAGCTAGTGAAATGTTTTGCATTTCTCTTTGATTCTGCTTTATGAATGACTAATAAATTAATATTTCTGTACGGAAACAGAAATAAAAACTCAAAACAATTAGATAATTCCATTTTGAATTTTGCTATTGAACTGTTAAATACAACCATTAATCTTAGATCATTTTGTGAAACCTTTCTCAGGATTTAGCTCTGAATCCCAGTGATTGTATATTTGGAGAAACTGTATAACAACGACTCTGCTGATTTGGTCATAAATTATCTTCTGTTACATTGTGCTTCACAGGCCATTCTGGAATCGCCAGAGAAGCAGCTAACACTAAATGAAATCTATAACTGGTTCACACGAATGTTTGCTTACTTCCGACGCAACGCAGCCACGTGGAAGGTAAGCTTTCTCAGGCCTGTTTAGTCTTGGATCTTGACATTCATAGAACAGTTTATTGTTGATAAAATGCAACTGTGCTGTAAGGAAGCTACATTTTTATTGTTTTGATACTCCTAAAGTGTCCAGTCTGCAGGTATAATTGGGAAAGCAGTGCCACTGTGGCTGAAATGCTTGGATGGCAGACTCTCATTACATGGGCATCAGCACTGTGGAGGGGCCAGCCAGTAAAATGATCTCTCTCTGGTTGGAATATGTAGAGAAAGGGAGATGACACAATGCCCAAAAGTTGAGGTTGCCATATTACTTCCACAGACTTCACGCTGTTAGGTCTTCAGCCACAGCCAGTATTTGCAGAGATGTATTTCCAGAGATAGAACCTGGAGAAATGACCAAACTTGACACAGCCTTCAATGGTTGGATGACAAGCTCATTCACCCAATTAGTAGAGAAAGCTGTGCCATCTAAGTACTAGCTATTAATGGAGAACACAATGTATTATTAAGGGTTTGTTTTTTTTATTTTTAAGTCAAGAGATTGTTGGCCAGGCACAGTGGCTCATGCCTGTAATCCCAGCACTTTAGGAGGTTGAGGCAAGAGGATCACTTGAGCCCCAGAGTTTGAGACCAGCCTGGGCAACATAGTGAGACCCTGTCTCTCTTAAAAAAAAAAAAAAAAAAAAACATTAGCCAGGCATCGTGGCATGCACCTGTGATCACAGCTACTCCAGAGGCAGAGATGGGAGGATTGCTTGAGGCAAGGAGGTTGAGACTGCAGTGTGCCCTGTTCATGCCACTACACTCCAGCCTGGGCAACAGAGCAAAACCCTTTCTCAAAAAACAACAAAACAAAGATTGTCCCTCATAGATATACTAAGGAAGAAAAGTAGATTGTAGAAGTTCATTATAACACTGCTATAAAAACATGTCAAATTCCATAGCTCTTTATCAGATGACCCTAGCAATGCTTGGGGTTATATGGCTTACCTCATTCCTGGTTCAGAGATTTCACTGGTATTTATTCCCTTCTATTAGATTGAGCCCTCAGGCATTCTTGGGCTTTCCCATTTTCCAATATTTTTGCTTATATAAGAGGACAGGTATACTCTGTCATTTGTATTTTTGCTTTTTTTTTTTAACTATCTGGAATTCTTTTAATCCCTGAAATCCAAAACATTTAGAGACATGTAATACAAACATTTGAGGATATTTTTCCGTGACATTGCTAAATATGATAGGGATGTGTGATAGGATGCAAGGAAAACTTCCTTCACTTGCAATAAATGCCTTCCTTGCTAATTTCTTAATTTTATACTGGAGAAAAACCAAAGCGAAAAACAGAAAAATTTATTTCCTCTGTTAAGTTCCTGATAAATTAGCATTTTAAAAGAAAACGAATATAACCATAGAATTAATTCATCAACTTTACAGAGCTGTGAATATCTATTACGGCCCAAATTATCCTTTCATTTCCATTAAGACACTTGGGCACTGAAGGGAACCTATGTTCAAAATCTTACCCTCTTTGCCTCAGCCTGCCTTAGGAGATAAAATATAAAAGGATCTTTAGCCATGAATGCTTTTAAAAATTTAGGAAGTTGAAGCATGAGGCAGACATTTTCTTGAGATTGCCTTTTATAAATGGAAATGATGAAATTTAAAAATAATTACCAGTTGTGAATATAATATTTAAGCTTAGGTCTTCAGATTGAACTTTTTCATTTTGAAAACTGCAGGAAAAAGTGTCATTAATATAAACAACCTTAGACGAAGTACTTAATGACTCATAAATACGTATAATTTTCTCTGTGTCCTTATTTTTACCATGATCTTAGACAAAAGATGAAATGCTCAGTTAAAGTTATGACTGAAAAGGGCTTACACATCTTTTTTTTTGAAAACTCTTGATTTCTAGTTGCTTTCTGCTTAGATGTGCAGTTTTGGGAAACAGAACTGAAGTTTTGGCTTTGTGTCTTGACTCACATGGTTATATTGCTCAACCTGATCTGCAGAAATTATTTTATCAGAAGTAGCTTTAAGCCCTTTCAGTTTTATACATTTTGATACTTACTTTAAAACATCAGACAGTGATTAGGATTAGAAGCAATGTTGACTTCTTTCCAAGTTATGTCTCCTAGATATAATGCCCGGATTTGTAAAGGAAATTGGCTTTGTCTGTTTATTTGTACCACCTCAGTTTTGTTCCAGTAAATAACAGTGGACCTTCTGTCATATGCCTTTGGGCAATATACTTTTTGAAATGTAGCCGGACACAGTGGCTCCTGCATATGACACTTTGGAAGGCTGGAGGATAAGTTGAGCCCAGGAGTTCAAGACCAGCCTAGGCAACATAGCAAGATCCCATCTCTACAAGAAATTTAAAAAATTAGCTGGAGGTGATGACACATGTCTCTAGTCCCAGCTACTCAGGAGGCTAAGGCAGGAGGATCTCTTAAGCCCAGGAATACAAGGCTTCAGTGAGTCATAATTGAACCACTGCATTCCACTTGGGCAGTAAAGCAAGACCCAGTCTCTTTAAAAAAAAATTGCTTAAAGACTAGCCTGCATTTTATATGCAAAGAAAATTGCCCTATCAAGTATATGACGTGCCAAATGTTTTCAATTTAGAGATTTTTATTTTTAAGCAAACTCATCCAATTTTTTTAAATCATGAGTGTCCTTTTGATAGTCACCTGGGTATCTTGAACCTACCTCTTGTTATGCTGATATTACTTTAAAACTCTTTGGGAATTTATCGTGTGAATTTTCCTTTCAAGCAGTTCACACCATGCATTAAAACTTGTCTCATTATCTTCTAAATATTCCATATCAGAAAAGAAAAATTATTATGTAGCTTTAATCCTCACAGTCACCAATTGTAATTGTGCCAACACTGAAGCACCTCTCAGAGTAGCAAGATTCACCACCATGAAGGTTAATTCAGGAAGGAAATACACCAGGTGGCAGAATGGGGAGGGGTGCAAAATGCTTGTGCTGGAATTGAGTGAGGACTTCACATGGTATGTGAGGTGTGATGTTTATGTCAACTTCTCAAGCCCCAATTGAGTGATCTCATTCTGAGTAAGATGACAGTTTTAAATGACATGCATCTCTTTAGAATATCTTCCTATCTAGCACTGAGTCCAGATCCCTAAGTTGAACCAGGCAGGACTAAAGAAACGATCCCTTGCTTGTTACTGTACCTAGTAAGGGTTAGGGATTCTTCCAAACCCAAAGGAAAGATGAGATATTAAAAGCTCTTCACCCTTGAGTTAAGATCCTCCTTTTTCATAAATTATTGATGTTAAGGGTCTCAGCTTAGGAATGGCCAGAAAGGACTAATAACCATACAAGATGGGTCTCTAGAAACCATCAACTGTAGGAATATAGTCATTTTGCCATTGAGAGTTCCACTCATGTGTTTCTTTGGCATTTACTCAATTAAAATACCTGCCCATACATAGAGCCAACTCTTAGACAAAGCTGATCTCTTGCAGGGTCAGTTTACCCCCGATTCCTTCAACTACACAAGGTGATACTCTCGGTGGTAAAATCTACTTTAGAATTTTTCATAAGACCTATGGAAGTTTTAAAAGCCTGGAACTATCAAGAACAAAACTGTATTTAGCAATATTAACCAAGTGTTCCTCTTTCACGGTTTGAACAAAATACCCCCTTTTAGGGGAGGTAGGTGGGCTTTAAAAGGAGCACTTCGATGCTTTGCATGTTTTGTTTAAAAGTAACATTTTCAGATTTGTACACTGGAACCTGTTTTGGGCTTGTATGCATATTAAAAACTTTCTTCTGGTTCATTATTACCAGAGACTAGATGAAAATGCCAACATGCAATTAATTTATAATTTGGGTTTATTTTTGCTTTTGGAAAAGACATCCGTAACCATGAGAAGGTCCTCCACGGGGGTGGTAGCTGCAGCTCTTGGGGGTGGTGTTACAAATGTGGACTGTTAGGCTGAATTTACTGCTGTTTTTGGAGTCTTTTCTTATAGAAAATGTAAATGTTCTCTCTTTTATACTTGCTGCAGAATGCAGTGCGTCATAATCTTAGTCTTCACAAGTGTTTTGTGCGAGTAGAAAACGTTAAAGGGGCAGTATGGACAGTGGATGAAGTAGAATTCCAAAAACGAAGGCCACAAAAGATCAGTGGGTACGTCCACCATGTTTGAACTTCTTAGCCTAGCTTGGATTGTGCTAACAAGTATAACGTAGAGGCTTTGGCTGCTAGATGGTGTTAGACCAAAGAACTGGTTTCACGTTGTCTCAGTTAAGGGAAGCAAAAAAGCATTTCATCCCTCCTGTTTTGTATACCCACCAGTCCCCCTGCCCTGCTTGCTGGTCTTTGTTGCATCACATGCTAGTAGCTTTTAGGTGGCAATGCATATTAACCCTCACAAACCATTTGCTTATGCTTATTGCATTTTATTTTCTTTTTCCTGTTCCCTGTATTGGATGTCTGTTCTGCCCCCAACCCCGTCTCCTTTTGTTGCCACTCCATCTCCTTTGCTGCTGCTCCTATCCCAGGGTGCCATTCGCACCAACCTCTCACTGCATAAGTGCTTTATCAGAGTAGAGGATGAGTTTGGGTCCTTTTGGACAGTTGATGATGAAGAGTTTAAACGTGGCCGCCATATTCAACGAGGCCGTCCTCGCAAATACTGCCCTGATGAAAACTTTGACGAGCTTGTCGCACAGTAAGAGCCTTTACTTGCTTTTGTTTTTTTTTTCTGCTGTTGCTTTGGCTTTGCATGGTTGACTCATCCCATGTAGTTTTGCATTTCACCAATAGCAGTGCCACAGCTTTCTGCAACGAAACTAAATTGTGTGATTTGTACATGTATTGCTCTCGTTTCTCTTTGGAACACCAGTGCCTTGAATAATGCTTTTTTGACGTCTTTAATGCAAATATTGGTTGTATTTTGATTCAGCAGCTTACGGGGACCCTAGAACTAAATTCTTTTGCTTAACCCATAATCCCAAGTAAAAAGGGAATTTTTGGTTAGAGTTAAAATGCGTGTGTACTACTGGGGTAGACAGATTTCTTCTTACTTGTTCACTCACTAGAATAATGTAAATGTAATGAGGTGAATGATTAAAATGTTCCAAGCATAGGAAGGAAATAGGTAATATCAAGTATACTTCCTTTAAAGGCCTCTGATAAATGTAGGTAATTGCTTACTGGAAGGCACTCTTTACCCTCAGTATGCCCAGTGTATTTTTTTTTTTAGTATTTTTATCCTTATGAGGCTAGAGATTTTCCAAAAACAGTATGTTGGCTTCATTTGGTCCAGGAACGGAGACAGCAGCAAATATTCTCAGACCCTCCCAGATTTGGCTAAGACATCCCCTTATTTAGAAACGCCCCTCCCCTGGGATACCCTACTCTGCATATCCCGTTGGCAATAAAAGCGCCTTGTAGATGTTCCCTAAAAGCCTTCCTGCCATCCCTCTAGCAGTCAGTCACTGTAGAGTTCAAATCTCGAAGATGCTTACGAGCCAAGATTCTCTCTGCTCACACCCAGCAGCCCCTGCTGTGAGCTAGCTCACTGCCTTCCCCAGCACAACCCCCTAGACTGCTTGCTGCCTTCCTGTTGGAGTCTGGAGTCATGGTAACTCCTAAAAACCTGCAGGGAGGGCTCTGGAGGGAGGACCCGAGCCTGTTATTACCCAAGCCGGAATTTTACACCTAGTTTCCTTCAGTAGCAAAGTCTAACCCCAGAGGGTGCACACAAACCAGCCCTGCAGAGCAGTGACAGGGAGAAAGCCTGACGTTCCTTGGGTTTTGTTAGTGGGGGAAATTGCTGATTTGGAAGGACAACCAGCAAGCTTAAAACTTAGCTAGGAACTCCGGAGTCAACTGTGTTTAACTTTGAGTTTTTATCTTTTTCTTATACAGTAACCCTTCCCTTATTAAAAACATGCAGAGCAGCCACGCCTACTGCACACCTCTCAATGCAGCTTTACAGGTAAGATTAATGGCCATCCCGAATATGCAGCAGAGGCACAGGTCTCCCCCACTCATTTCAAAATATATTAGCCTTGCTCTAATTAGATATTAAATTTTAATTCCGTTAAACTTTTTTCTTAAGTGCACAAAGCATCGTACTCCCTGGAGGCAAACACATCGGGCTGCTTCAGCATTAGCGGGATGCTTAGCATTTTGAATATTGTGGCAAAAAAATTAAAAGTTCACTTATTAATATTTATCAGCAGTATCATAATTTCCATCCTCTTATTTCAGAATTTCACTTGAGGCAAAAATACCACAAGTGTAATTACTCTAGCACAGCTATTAATGTGCCGGATGATAGGCCACTTCGTCACATGACCTTCTATTGTTCACAGGTTTAAAGAGAAAGCAGGGCTTTGTATGTCTTCTTCTTTTAAAGTCGACTTGAGCATCTTCGCTTCTGTCTGGTGTGGGGAGGATCTGGGTCTGGTTCACTTTATAAAAGTAAACTGTGTCTGTTTAAACAATAGAGGTGTTTAGGAAAACTCTTTAGTTTTCCTGCTCATTGCTCAAGATTACACAATAATCATACGGAGTGTTTATTTCCTACTGACAAACCAAGAACTTGTTACATCACCAATGGTACCAGGAGTGAAGATGTGGGTTTTGAGCAGGTGAGGCAGCCCAGCTTCTAGCAAACTTTTTCCCTATTGTACATCTCCGTTCTTAAATGAAGGCTACTCCTGTATCATTTCATTCAAGTACCTGGGTACAGTACTCAAGTTCCCCTCGAGAGTTCATCAGTAAGCAGCATTCTTTTGGCCTGTGGTCCTGTTTGTTTTCCCCCCTACCCGGACTGTTCTAGAAGACAGGCCAAGAGAATCTTGGTAACTTTTAAATAACACATTTTATAGATAAATGTGACATTTGTCATCTAATACCATTGCATTCCTCTGCAGCATACATTCTCAGTGGGGGCTCTATCACCCCCAGATTGGCTCTGAGATACTACAGTGTCTTGTGTCCTTCCAGAGGACTATAATATATGAGCAAATACTCACATTTCTTGGGGTAACGACACAAATAGACACACACAAAAGTCTAAAAAGGGACAATAATGAAAAAAACAGTTGAGACCTTCAGCATGGTGGGAACAGGATGAGGAAGGAAGAGATACTGCCAGGAGCCTGGGTTTGCTCTGCATTAAACAGATATTTATTGAGCACGATTCTACCCTACAGGCCCAGTAGTCTTAAGGCTCCTGGGAACTGATGATAGGCCATTTACCCAGTTTCAGTTTAGAGGCAGATTCACTGGCCTTAGCATTTCAGTAATTATATTTATTTATTTTTAGCCTGAACCTGATTTAATAGGAGAAAGTACTTTCTGCGTTTCTTTTAATTACTTGTAGTTTACACAAGTAACTTTAGAGGAATAAATGAAAGCATGCTTCGATGCTGCCACTGTAAATACCATTCATTAGTAACTTATTTTCCCTGGAGTCTTGTGAAGTGTGAATTTAAAGGCTGCTCTATCTGGAATAGTATTAAGATTACAAGCACATTTTATATTCATGAGGCGGAAAGGCAAAAAAAAGAGTGATCCTCCGTCCTCTGAATTCTCTTAATGTGACTAATTTCAATTAGTATGCTTTGTCATTACAGAACTGTTCAGGTTTTGTCTCTGAACATTTGTTTTTGGTATTTTCTTCAGTAGCCCAAAACTGTCCTGCCATTTTCCAAGAACACTTTCCGTCCATAATGAGGCAAGGGGAATAAATTGATATAAATTCATGATTTGAGAAGTGGATTGTTTCCCTCTCTTCTACGAGTTTGGATCCCTGATCAGTAGACAGACACATAAGACAACTTTCTACTGTGCAAATTAAATAAAGATTCTGCCAGCAGGCCTTCCTCTCCATTACCGCCTATTTCCATTTTTCAAGACAAGTAAAAATAATAGTGGAACAATATCTTCAAAAAAAATTACTAGAGCAACATAATGCATGATATACAATATATAAAATAGGACAGCAGAATCCACTACAGAAATAAAACATGGGACTTGGGACAGATTGCATTATGCTCTGAAAAGTGAAGTAACTAAGGGTAACCGTAAAGCTTCGTATTTATAGACTGCCTTTCTCCTGAGGATCTCAGAGTGGTTAATGTTCCAGGAGCCACGGTGCTTATGGACTTCTGCACAATTACTTAGGCAACTTCAGTTTTTGGCAGAGGTGCCAGCTTGATAGGAAAACACATACTGTGCAAGGACCATTTACATAATTAAGTCCATTTTTGTAACATACCTGCTTCTAAGTGGACATCAACTACCAGAAAAAAAAAGGAACCACTTTGTTAGGCATAAGCAATTAGTGAAAATTTCTCTAATCTTGGGAGGGTTGTTCTGATCACTTGCTTAACAAAGAGTGTGTTCAAAAAATACAAAAAATTAGCTGGGCATGGTGGCACGTTCCTGTAATCCCAGCTACTCAGGAGGCTGAGGCAGGAGAATTGCCTGAACCCAGGAGGTGGAGGTTGCGGTGAGCTGAGATCACGCCATTGCACTCCAGCCTGGGTAACAAGAGTGAAACTCCGTCTCAAAAAAAAAAAAAAAACCAAAAAAAACTCTTGCAGATTAGGCACTGGGATGTCTCTGCAGCCCATTTGATCATTTTTTTAAGGAACAAGGCTGGTTTTCATCACTTCCATCTTTCTTGTCTGAGAACCAAGGGATCCATATAAGTGCCTACCTTTGGTGCTTTTCACTACTGTGGCTGTTGGGTCTCAGCCCATGTTCTATGATCCAATCCCAATCAGCAATGGCCTTGACCTAGAATACTTTGAGAGCCAAAGAGAATAAATAGTCATCCCGGCCGGGCGCGGTGGCTCACGCCTATAATTCCAGCACTTTGGGAGACCGAGGCAGGTGGATCACGACGTCAAGATATTGAGACTATCCTGGTCAACAAGGTGAAAACCCGTCTCTACTAAAAATACAAAAAATTAGCTGGGCATGGTGGCGCGTGCCTGTAATCCCAGCTACTCAGTAGGCTGAGGCAGAATTGCCTGAACCCAGGAGGCGGAGGTTGCAGTGAGCCGAGATTGTGTCATTGCACTCCAGTCTGGGAAACAGCAGCGAAACTCCGTCTCAAAAAAAAAAAAAAATCACCATCATCATCATCCCAAGAAGGTTGCCTTCTCTAGAGGGTGACCAACTCATCCCAATGAGCACATTCATATCAGCATTTCAATTTTGTCTTCATAATTTTTGACCAGGGAAGTTGCTAAAATAAATAATTAAGTGAGAAGCCCCACTGTTGCCACATTCTGACCATAGAATAGTGAAATTGTCTTGTGAGAGCATATCTTACAGTATTTCTAGTGGAGAGGCACTTGGCAGAATTTGTGACTGAGAGAGGTGTGACCACTGTTGTCTCAGATAAAAGCAGTTAAGATGCCTGTCCAACTGCAGTTTGCAAAAAAAAAACAAACAAATAATAGTTCTGGCAACTGCTCTGCCAAAAAAAAAAAAGAAAAGAGGCTTTATTGCAATTATAAAAGAGCTGTTGGAAAAAGTACTGGATGCAAATTATTTGACACACTGTCGGAGAGTGTGGAATGTTCAGATTTGCCGTTCATCAAAATGAGTTCACCACATTTGGAAACAAAAACAGCATTTCCCCCCTACTTTTTAAAAGAAGGCAGTTATATACATTTACAAGCAGAGGAAAGAAAAAGCTTTGGGCTTCCAGAGGGTGGAGCTTTGACAGTCCATTATCCAGTGCTGTGTTCGGTGAGTGTGCACAGGACTTCTAACACAGAGCCTGTACCTTGAAAGCCCTGGCTTTGGGATTTGTATAGTGAGTGAGGCTGCGATTGTCATACTAGGCAAACAGACTTCTGCGGCCCAGCTTTGCACTCTTTTGGCTTTTACTTTCTCTTTAGAGCCAGGATTTCGAGAATACTTTGGACTCTGGTATGCCTGGCCAGTGGAAGTCACTGTGCCAGACTGTCTTGTGACTATACTTTTTTCTCATTAGGATGGAAGAGCGGGCATAGTGTAGTCTGCAAGAGGACAGTTGTGATAAATTTTATTTTAATTACAGCTGCCAGTTTTTGCAAGTGTCCCCTTTAATAAAATGAAAAGTCAATGGGTCATTATCACCACCTGAATGAAACATATGGGTGCTTTAGTCCAGTGGTGTATGTAACTGTTGTCTGCATTTCAGACTTGTTGTCCCTTTTATTCAAATGCAGCATAACAGGAAGTAAATAATACCTACCTATCCTAAATAAAGTTTAGGATTTCCCCAGTTTTTTGATGTGACACTCAGGTGGAGTGACTTTGTCACCTTTAATATTGATGTGCTTAGGCACCAAAAAGAAATATGATTTAGAGCTTCCTTTTGCCAGAGATCTGTGTTTAGTCCTAAAATCCCAGGCAATTGGTTGGACCCTGAAACATTACGTGGTGTTTCCTTCAACCAGTTATCTCAAACTGCATTAAACAGATTCAGAAATCATTAAAACAGAAATGGGAGGAGATAAAAAATTGATTCCAATTCTATAATCTCTTCCTTTTCTATAGGATCTAAGAGGTAATGTTTATGGAAGTTCTCATAAGTTTGAGCAGTGCAGCCAGAATAATCTGATCAAAATCTCTAATATTCAATAGTGGAGTCATCAAAATGGATAAAGAAATAAAAATTCCATTATATTTCACTGTGATCTGGAAATATTCAGCTCCTCTTAAAAACGCATCTGACATAAACCTCATATTAGATAGCCTGTCTAAACCACGTGACTACCAAGCAGGACCAAATTGAGTCCTTCCTACCCACGGGTGCTTTGGTCCCCCCGGCCCCTAGTCTAGCTGTTCAAAACCAAGCTTGGGACAGGTGCTATGAGTCATCTTTAAAGCAAAATCTTTCAACACCTCTTAGAAACTTGTATTTGCCAGCCATGCTACAATTAATTCAAACTGAAGATTATTGCGTACACCCATAATTAGTAGTTTCCTCGTCTTACATACCCTGTGTCTTCATAAATTTTCTTTTGGTCAATGACAGGCTTCAATGGCTGAGAATAGTATACCTCTATACACTACCGCTTCCATGGGAAATCCCACTCTGGGCAACTTAGCCAGCGCAATACGGGAAGAGCTGAACGGGGCAATGGAGCATACCAACAGCAACGAGAGTGACAGCAGTCCAGGCAGATCTCCTATGCAAGCCGTGTGAGTATCATCCACCCAAAAGGTCTTTGCTGTCAGACCCTAGTCTCCCCATGTGCACACAGCCTCTCTCTGGGCTTTATATACCTTTTCTGTGATTTCCAATTTCCCAGAACTAAGTTTGTACTTAGAGAAATGTTCAGCTTGGTTAGTGCATAAAAGGACTATTTGCTAACTTTCCCATAAAAGCAGTTCACAGCAATAAAATGGGTAACGGGTTTACTTTTTTTCTCTGCTTTATCACATTGCAGGCCATTACTTAAGCCACACTTCTTTTTCCTCCTCAAATTAATATGCATCCCTATGAAAAAGTTGGCAGTTTGTTCAACATTCGGGCGTGCTGAACGTAACCGAGAGAAAAAGATGCTTGTTTACTCGATGGTTCTATAAGGTTAACCACGAACACGCCACCGCAGCATTATTACCAACCATTAATGACGGCACAAATGAAAGGCGGCATGATTTATAGATTGCTCTTAAAATATCAAAAGGAAAATTAATAGGAGCATTATAGCAGCAGACGGCAGTATAATGAGCGCACATATAACTGAATGAAGTGATGGGCGATGGTTGCCCATGCTGAATGTGAATGGCACCAGGACTGCAAACCACAGGAACGGCAGAGGCCAGGAGACTGTGAGGGCCCCTGTGAGTGGGTGATGGGAGAAAAGTTGGTGTAACTAGAAACCCCTCTCTCCCAGGAAACGTTTTCAAACAGAGGGAAGAAATTATATTCATTCAAACGATTGGCCTTGCTGGAGATGCTGTGAAATGACAGTCTCTCCCTTTTAGTGAGTTTCTTCAAAACTGTTGCCCATTGTAAGGAACTAACCTATTTCATGTTTGCAGTACTGTCAGTTTCTAGAACAGGCTGCTTGTCTACACATTGCTTCTGAATTACTGACCAACATCTTACTGTAAGATAATATAACTAATAGGAATGGAAAATACGACCTGTAACAATTAGGAACAGACAACATAGGCATCTAATGACAGAAAAAAGTGTTATCTGCCAGCATGATTTAGAAGGTATGGGGAAATCTGAAATTTCATTTTCTAGCATTTGAATTTCATCCCCACAGCACTTCAAAAAAGGATCTTTACTACTCTTTGCAGAAATGGAAATAATCGTTTTTAATTTATATGAACAGCATCTTAGCATTTACTTCACAGCGTTTTAAGAATGTGTTTATCTTTCACACTGATGCTGCTATATTTCATCCTTTCCAAAGCAAGTTAGTGTTTCCGACTTTCCCGTTATCACACTTGTATTCATCTGAAATCATTGTCATGACAGGAGTATTTACTTAGATACTAAGGAAGTTCAGAGCAAATGTAAATTGGCATATAAGCTACTACAAGAAATACTCATTAGAACAAAAATGAAGTTATTGAATGGAAGTGATATTGTTTCTCATAATCTGTACAAACTCTCAAGGTTTTTTTGACACATATTTCTATTATTTAGTATAAAGAATCACTGAGGCCGGGCGCGGTGGCTCACGCCTATAATCCCAGCACTTTGGGAGGCCGAGGTGGGTGGATCACGAGGTCAAGAGATCAAGACCATCCTGGTCTTGATCTTTCATCTTTCACAAGGTGAAACACCATCTCTACTAAAAATACAAAAATTAGCTGGGCATGGTGGTGCGTGCCTATAGTCCCAGCTACTAGGGAGGCTGAGGCAGGAGAATTGCTTGAACCCAGGAGGCGGAGATTGCGGTGAGCCGAGACTGTGCACTCCAGTCTGGGTAACAACAGTGAAACTCCGTCTCAAAAAAAGAATCACTGAAACAAAACAAAAAGATACTTGGATACAAGCCACAGGCACCAGTTCAGAGTGATACTGATTTTGCTGTATGAAAGTAAGTCACTGCAGGCTTAATTAGTTTAACAAATTTGAATTAACCTCAGTATTACCCAAACCATGTTTTACAGCAGTCTGTGATTTTTGATGAAATGAAGGTTTCAACTATTTTTTAAAAGAAACCCTACGCAAAGATGTCAAAACGAGTTACTCAAATCTCACAGGTTTGTGCTGTTTGCTAAATGTGATTATATGTCAACAGCAGATTCCCTGCGCCTGCTATCCGTGTCATAGACTGTTACTCTTTTTGACCTCATACTTCCATTAAGGGACTTCGGTAATGACAAGAGTTTCCATTCTTGTCCAGTATGCATTACCCTGCTATGATGCAAATTGTTTTTCAACTGTTTCAGTCTATTGGAATAAATCAAGCCGTAAACTTTACGGCGCAGCTTGAAGGGCCTTGTTAGGAAGGCAGCCTAGCTGATACTGAGCGTTGAAACAGAACTCTTCATTCTTACCCTCTTTGTGACACTCAAATACCACTACATTTCATTCCTCCTTTGAAACACTAGAAAGTGGTCACATAATTATGGCTTTGGGGCATTATACTTTTATCCTGATAGGCGCTAAAGGAGCTACAAAGCAAAATACTCCATGCTGTGCATACACCCCCAGAACACAATGCCTTTAAACACCAGTCAGCTTTATTTTAAAACACTTGTGTTCCCAGAGTGGCAAAACAAAGGAATTACTCAGATGTAAGGAGAAGGGAAATGTGTGGTTTTGCACACAGTTATTCATTGGTAGCCCTTTCGGAAATAGGAGTTGGGGAGAAAGAGTGGGGGCAGTGTCTGCAAGGAGAGGAAGGTGCATTGTGCAGCCCTAACTTCTAGGAGACGCGGTGAGTGTATGTGAAGCCTAGTGTCTCAGATAGTCTGCATCTCATCTGAAATGGATCTTTCATGGAATCCTATCTTCTTTTATCCTGGAAGCACTGTATGCCTGTGCTCCAACTTTTTGCCACACCCCATTACCAGAAAGTGTCCTGAAATTGGATTTCATTTCTCTGGAGTTTAGAAAACTTACTGTCTAACCGGGTTGTGTCGCCAGGTGGTCACACGGTACATCTAGCTAGTTAACATTTGTTGGGGACCCACTCTGATGAGGCACTGGGAGTCGAACCAGCAGGCATGACAGGATCATAACCTCTGTCTTCAGGAGAGTAAATAATCCTAATAAATTTTGGCTACAATTTAGGGAGAAAACTTTTTCTTTACTTCTATTGCTTCTAAAATCGATACATCATACCTGTACATGTTTGGCGGGGGCTGGCATTTGTTATTTTGATACATGTATACAATGTGAAATGATGAAAGGAGGATAACTGGGTAAACAAAATATTCTCTGATGTTGTGAACTATGTTTTGTGGGGCTTTACTTGTATCTGATTTTTGGGGTAAGATTAACAAAATATTTGTCAAAGTCTAAAATTATACAGCAAGAACTTCATTAAGATGGAGATGGGTCTGTTTCTTCTGGGGGGGGTCCCCCATGCTCCGTCTCCCCTCCTCAAAGTGTCTTATATGATCTTACGTTCTTAGATCATTCAGTTCTGGATTGTAAATCTGAAACGATGGACAGAACTGATAGTTAAGAAAGTAGGAAAATTCTGATTTGGAAAACAACATTTGAACCTCAACATGTGGCTAAAACACAAATTTCAGTAATTCATACAAGTTGCAGTTCTCAGCAATGAATGTTTGAAAATGAAACATTAAGAAATGTTCACCATTGTCAGTAATCCAAGAAACACCATCTAAGGTAACCTGAACTTACCTTATACCTGCTAAGCAACAAAGTATTTTTTTTTAAATAATGCTTGCTGCTGATTGAGCTTAAATTGATAGCCCCTTGGAAGTTAATATCACAATAAATCATAAGAACCATAAAGATGTTTTGGCCTTTGCTCTAACAATTCCATTCTTAGAAATTTATCCTAAGGAGGTAAATCAACAGAAGTAGGAAGATTAATGGATAAAAATGGTCATTGCATTATACGGACAGTAAAAGGAAAAAAAAGATGATCCTAAGATGCCTAGTATTAAGAAACTGACATATTTCAACACAGTGGAATCTCATCTACCCATAAACATTGTAAACTGTAAAGCTAAGAAAATAAAAAAATACTATTCCTGCTGAGTTTACAGTATTTTAAAATATGACTTCAAGTAGAAAGAGATGGGCTAAAATAAGAAAACTGGCCTTAATTAAGGGTTCGTGTGTTGTTTGTTTTAAGGAATAATAATGAGTATACCTAATTCTTCCTAAAAGAATGTAGAGTATTACCCTAGCAAGGCTCGTTCACAGGTGTGTGACATGCAGTCACACAGGATCTCATGCCTAAAAGGACACTACACTTGATTTTAAGTGTTCTTTTTATTACCTTCTTTTATTTAGAGACGGAGTTCTTGCTGTATTGCCTAGGCTAGACTCAAACTCCTGGGCTCAAGTGATCATCCCTGCCCTAGCCTCCCAAGGAACTTGGACTACAGACACATACCACCACACCTGGCATGCACTTGCTTTAATGGCATTTCTGTCCTGAAATTTTAATTTTGAGCCAAGGCCATCAGACTTTCATTTTGCACTGGCCTTCGCAAATTATGCAGCCAGTCCTAATTCTTACTGCAGAAACACTGATATGGCCATTAAAAAAATAAATCCCCATCCCTAATGTTTAATACAGACTGATGGGAGGGTGACTCCCCGTGCAGCCTTCCTTTCACAGATACACAACTGTTTCCCTTAAATAAAAATATCTGGCCAGGCATGGTGGCTCACGCCTGTAATCCCAGCACTTTCGGGAGGCTGAGGTGGGTGGATCACTTGAGGTCAGGAGTTCGAGACCAGCCTCATCACCAACATGGTGAAACCCCATCGTTAATAAAAATAGAAGAATTCGCCAAATGTGGTGGTGGCCCCCTGTAAATCCCAGCTGCTTGCAAGGCTGAGCCAAGAGAATTGCTTGAGCCTGTGAGGTGAAGGTTGCAGTAAGCAGAGATCCTGCCACTGCACTCTAGCCTGGGTGACAGAGCACAACTCCATCTCAAAAAATAAATAAATAAAATAGATGGAGAGCTATATATAAAATGTAATGCAACTTTGCTATATTTTGTTTTGCAAATAGTTTTTACGAATAAAGGCATCAATTTTTAAGCTATTTATCTATCATCATCTAGCCCCCCCCAAAACGCTCTCTAAGCTGTGCTGATTTTAGAGTCAATTGATTCTGAAGGTTCCTGTCTTCAAGGGCAGTCCAAAGCACTCCTCTGTTTGTTTTTAAATGGTTCAAGGGGCCTTTGGGGTTTGCATACAGCATCAATTATTTAGGAAGCCAACCATCCCCATTACCACGTCTTATTACTAATATTTGATAATGTCAACTTAAAAATCTTCCCTTCTGCAGCCTGTCGCAGAGATGGGACTGTTTTTAACTTGAATGGTTTTTTACATATCAAAAGCCCCTGCAAGACAAAGTCATTTGTATTTGCAAAGGATCAGTTGTAAATATGATTTACGAACAACACTTCTCAATTGTCATCCGAGTGGTTTTGTGTGATCACCCCGGTTCCCCTCCCGGTGTACCACGGTCTGGTCCATAATGAGAAAGTTGGCAGATCTCACCGCAACCTCGAGCATCCCAGTGGCTGCTACCAGCCGGGCCTCATGTTTTGCCTTGTTTACAGCTGACAGTGTTATTATTCTGATCGGGGCTCTGCTTTCTTATCATATTGTTGTGTTGAGCGAGCCTTTTCCTCTCCGTTTGTGTTTCCTGGCAGGGCTTTTCTTGCCTTATTGACAGTTTGTAAAAATATGCATTAATTTGGAGTTTCAAGCATGTATCATGGTGTCTCTTTGCTGTGTTTGCTTGAAGTTGATTAATGATAGAACCTCGCTTGGGGTCGTCCTCTGGAGAGTTCTTTCACAGGTTCTGCATGTTAACTAGCAAAGCAGAACACACAGCAAGCCATGATTAGCCCAGCCTCCTGTGCTCAGTGGTCCCCACAAACTGCCGTTGCATTAGAGATTCTTGTTTCATGTAATTATTTGAAGATCGGTATTCGTCCACCCAGGATGCCACTATGGGGCCTGTTATCTGGTACTCAAAGTGTGGTTCTAGAACCCACGGCATCACCTGGGAGCTTGTTAGAGATGCAGGGTCTCAGGCCCCACCCCAGACCTGAATCACACAATGCATTTCAGCAAGGCCCGCAGGTAACTGCATCCTTAAAGGTACATTAAAGTATGAGAAATGCCACCAGAAAGGAGAGGCCTGTACCTGTCTAGAGACTCGTCAGTCAAAGCAGCACTACACAAGAGAACTTCCTGCAGTGATGGAAATGTTCTGTGTCTTTGCTGTCCAGAATGGTAACTGCTAGTCACAAGGAGCCTCTGAACATGTAAATTTCAGCCAGCCCACTCAGAAACTGACTTAAATTGTGTGTTAAAAGTTCATTCCTTTTAAAGAGCCACATGTGGCTAACGGCCACTATACTGGACCAGTAGAGTTGTAGTTTTAGAGTGTGGCTTTTCTGTTGCCCCAGACTTTTAAGTGCTCCTGGGCTGCACTGGGATGGAAAGTGCCCACACTGAACCTCTGCTTATTTTTTCCAGGCATCCTGTACACGTCAAAGAAGAGCCCCTTGACCCAGAGGAAGCTGAAGGGCCTCTGTCCTTAGTGACCACAGCCAACCACAGTCCAGATTTTGACCATGACAGAGATTACGAAGACGAACCAGTAAATGAGGACATGGAGTGAATATCGGGGCCGGCCAACCCCGAGAATGAAGATTGGGAAAAGGAAAAAAAAAAAAAAAAAAACACACGTCAAAAGTTAGCAGTGAAATTGTTCTCCATTTGTTGTACAGTCTGGAGGATTTTCACTACATTTTGACAACTCTGAAATGTGTTAACTCTTAGTGCCATCAAGAACCCCATTTGGGAGTATTTTTGATTTTTCTACTTTTTGTTGAAAAAAGGAATTTGTACTCTGTGCATTGGATGGACTTGTTTGGTACTTGGGATTTTCCTCTCTTAACCGTCAACATCAGTGTTGTAAATTTGCTAAACTGATTCACTTTTAGCAGCAGACTTTGAACTGCAGTCCTGCCAACGTTGGACACTGAGGACGCCCGACGGAGCTTGTGCACCTAAGCTGCAGACCAAGCCTTTGCCCAGAATTTAAGGATTCCAATGGACGACCTATTTGCACAGTACTGCATGTTGATTATCACTGCCTTTACTCCTTTTTTTTTTTTTTTTTTTTTTTTTTTGCTTCCAGTTGGGATGGGGAAGGCCTTTGTGTGTGTATTGGGGGGAGGGGTTAAAAAATAATTATCCCAAACTTTTTAATGTATTGCTTTTTTTTTTTTTTTTTTCTTCTACTATACCATTTTAAGTTCTGACCTCAGGCCTCCATTTGGGCCGATGGCCTCTTGGAGGCTTAAAGTTTTCTGTACCTTGTGATGAATGTTAATAGGTGTTTTTATTATACAAAGCTGAATGTCATTTCTTGTTTGTAGCTTTCTGTCACTCATTCCATCTTCCTTCAGACATCACCGTTTCTCTAAAGTCAGAAAACATTCCGTTTTGGTCTTTTTCAAAAAGGTCCCAAATGCTGCACTCTACACATGAAGGCCCTCTCACACAGACGTGACATCCTGCCAGAAAGAGAATGAATGACAGAAAAAAAAAAAGACAAACTCTAGGAACAATGCCGATTCATTCCACGCAGCAGTATTGGGGGTGGTTGGGGGGAGGGATGTTTTGGATTTTCCTTTTTTTTTTTTTTTCTTTTTGCAGCAACCATCATTCTTAATAAATGCCACCACATTCTACCAGCACAAGGAAACATAGGCAGCACCGAAAAAAAAGCTCATACTAGACTGACGGTATGGCCGTGGAAGGCTCTCCCTTGTGGAACCAATTTGCCATGGGCCTTAGGAGCTCTGTGATAATGAGTGTGGGTTGGTTTTGTTTGCAAATTGGCAGTGCTGAGTTTATACATTAGTTCAGACCTGCTTGGTGGCATTAAACTCTTCGCATGCAAATTCCATTTCAGATTGAACTTCTTAAGAGAGTTAATGAGGACTGAGTTCAGCAAATGCTAAAGTGTTAATTTCAAATATGCAAATTTGGTACTGCAGTTTGTTACGCAATATTATATCACCAACCCAGTATCAGAAACTCATAGAAGATACATGTAGGTCCTGGGCTTTGGGAGTTCCCACACATGGTATGCAGAATGTGATGGTTACAGGTCAGTACAATCTCAGTTCTTAGAACCCCTCTACACTTCCACTCTGCACCCACTTTTCCTGTCATTTATTTATCTAGAACTGTAGCTTTTAGTTTGAGAGCCTTTCGAAGCTTAATTTATATTCTACCTTTTTTTTTTCTAAAATTACCAAAGATATTACACAAAGGTAAATTATGTTCTCTGTTTTATGCTTTATCTGATGAAGCCAAATATCCTCTTATTGTTGATCAAAGGAGGCAAAAGAATTTAGAGGCAAATGACAAGCGATAGGCTATTGCAACCTGAGAAAGAGAACTGCTCCTTCATCATAGAGTAAATTTAGAAGACCAAGTAGAAATGGAACCAAAGTTGTTACTTTTTTCTAGTAGTTATTTTTCTTTTTTCTTTTTGTGTACCTCTACAGAGACCAAAACTCATTTCTCTTAAAGAGATTTTATGGGGCTACTGCAGATAAAAATAGGACACAATATTAAAGGAGCTACAGAAGGAAGGGAGTCCCATCTCAGAAAAAAATGAATGTATGCCACTGCAATTAGAGTATCCAATAAAGGAGACAGTTTAGAGTCAGAACAGAAAAGTTTCCATAAGTGAACTAGATCACATAATAGCATTTCTAGAAAAAAAAGATATTTTTAGATTGTATGCCACTTTTGTTTAAGGACTGTGCTGTGATCACTGTATTAATTTTGGTTAATCTTGGCATATATCCTTCAGTTTGTTTTTATTTTTAATTTTTCCTTCCTTCCTTCCTTTTCCAATTAGGCTTTGGTCAGCATTTTTCGTTTAAAGAAAAGTAACACTCCCATCCACTCATAAGCTTGGTACAAAAACTTCTCTGGCAGTTACTTTTGAAGCTTCACTCTGCTTTCTGTATAAAGGGCAGTCTGTGGTCACGCAAGACTTAAAAAAAAAAAAGCAAAAAAAAAAAACACTTTTCCAGGCAGCTTCATGATGTGCAGGCAATAGCCAGACAGGGTCATGGGAAGGGGGCCCTGTGCTTCTAAACTGAGTGGTTGCTGGTTAGTTTGGTATTCAAAAGAGGATAAAAATCTGGTAGATTAGTTCATTCTCAGCATGTGTAGCTAGACATGAGTAAAGATAACAGCATGAGAAACTGTTAGTACGCATACCTCAGTTCAAACCTTTAGGGAATGATTAAAATTAAAAAAAAAAAATACATTTCACTCAGTTGCACTTAGTCGTATGTCTTGCATGCTTAGTCTAAAGACTGTAGCAAAAAAAAAAAAAAAAGAAAAATTAGATTTTACATATTTTGCAGGTATCACAGCCTAGCAGAAGAACCAACTGAAAAAAAAAATATTCTCAGGCTTTACAGCAAGCAAACTTCACTATGATTTTTACAGTTCCGATTCTGTATCCCCTGGGGGTTATCCCAGTTGCTTCTTTAGGATGGGGTTTATTATGTTGTACATATATCCCGATGTGTCTGTGTGAATCTTTGTCTTTTTTGGGGGAGGGCGGAGGGCGGTTCTTTTTTTAGATATTGTTCCTAAAAAGGAATAAATGCATACACCTGTTTGTCAAAACACCTTTGCTTTTTGTGCAACTGCTTTATATTAACGATACTAAAAAAAAAATAGCTTTGGAAAAAAAAACTACTGTATGTAATGGAATTGCAGAATATGCTGCACATGTATTTTATTTAGTTATCCTTGCTTTAAGATTTTGGATGACATTTCCTGACATGTGGGAGGGAGAAACTCCCTTTTTTTTCTGCTTTTAAATTGTAACATAGTTGAAGATTTTTTTTTCCTGTTCTCATTGATTGGAGCATTTTGTACAGGTTTTTTTGTGTGTGTGCGTGCGTGCCTGTGTGTTGATCTGTTTTTTGATACATTCCCGTCCCTTCTGTTTATCCTACCACTGCCTTCCTGGCTATCTTAAACAAGTTCATACATTTGAAAAGAAAAAAAAAATATGTTGTTTAAAAACTGTTTTCTCCTGCTGCAGTAAATATTTTGCATGATGAAATTCCAGGGTCACACTTTCAAAGTTTATCAGTGAAGTAGTGATTAACAATGGGGAGTGAACTTTTGTATAAAAAAAAAAAAACAACTTTAGAAGGTGCCAAGATGTAAAGAAAATTTGTAACTTTTTTTGTCCTCAAAGAAAAGCCTACATTAGGGAGGTAGTCCTGTGTGTCAGACAAATGCACTGTCAGGAATGAGGGTCGAACCTACCTGTCCTAGAGTCTGTCTTGTAAGATGAGTTAGGCTGCCACCTTGGACCAGCAGCAAAATGGAATATCAAGGCTTCTGTACATACATGAAGAGTTACTGCCATTCCTGCCACCGTTGGACAGCTCAAACACCATTCCTAGAATCCCGTTAGACCTAGTAAAGAAAACCTTGGATTCTTTACCCAAGATATGCTCTAAATCACCAGCTTTTTTTTTCTCACACACAGAAAAAGAGTTAAAAAATATTTCCTCTCTTTCCACATTCCAGCTGAGCTCTGTTTCCAAAGGCACAAAAGAATGTGCTTTTTTGGATTTTGACTCTTTTTGGTACTCTTTGGGTAATGACGTAGCCTCCTGAGATTTTGGATGTCTTCAAAGTCAGTTTAGTTTTTTTACCCTGAGAATCAGATTTACAATGCTGAAGGCATTTGTTGGGCCTTGTGTGGCTCATGCAATCTCTGCTACCCATAAGCCTTGATGAAGATGACAGAGTCCGGACTGTGAGCATGGTGCTTCGTGTATATGTGCTGCCAGTAACAAGAATTTTTTTGCTTTGTTTTGTTTTGATAAGGCATAAAAGAAACTCATTCCTTGACATCAACTGTAATTCCATCATTCCATGTCTGCGGATACAGACAATAAAAAAAATGTTGTGTAGTCAGTACTAATTACTGACATTATAGCATTCTCAAATGCAATAAAAATGCTGGTTGTTCACACTGGTAGTAAAAGTCGCCACAGCCTAAGTTTCTTTCCCCTTGTGACCTGCTGATACTGTATGTCAGGCATATGTCTTAGATTTCTCACTAGCTGCTTCCAGTGCAGAATTAAAAATCAATCTTAACTGAAAGCTTTCATCATCAGAGAAGGCTGAAGCTCTTGTCCTCAGGATTTCCAAGTGGAAGTATCCACTTAGAGAATTGCGAAGTAAAAAAAAAAAAAAAAAAAACTATCTTTTGAGGAAGCACACCCTTATTTTTTCATCAGATTTTATAAAGAAAACAAAATGTTTAATAACTAGCATTAAGAGCAAACTAAAATTTCAGAGGAAAGCAATTCATGAATAATTCATTAAAATTTCACATCTGCAAGATTAGTCATCCAAATAAAATGCTAATGTCAAAAACATGCACCGTCTATAATATTCTCATCAAGAAATCTTTTTGCATATAATGATAAATGCTTAGATTAGAACAAATGATTTTATAAAAATATTCTATCAAAAGTATGCCAGATAATTGTATTCATTGAAGAAAACAGAACTTCACTACCTAAATATTCCAGCAAAGCCATCTTGAGGTTTTTTTTAAATGACATGCATTTAGAAAATTTGCTATTTCTTTCTAATATTACTCTACAGTATATATTCTAGAGATTAATGAATTCGAGCATCATCTTTCAGTAAAAATTAAATTGCCAATATGAAAGCAGTATTTTAAGTGGCCAAACCATGGTAACATAAAACCATTACATATATAATTCAGAGCACATAATGCAGGGCAAAGGATGACTTGGAAATTAACCTTGCAGTCTTTATTCTGCAAAACACCCACCGATGCTGAGGAAGATGTGAATATTCTTTCCCAGCATTGTTTTGAAAAGCCTGTATTGGGAAAGGGGTGTGTGTGTGTGTGTGTGTGTGTGTGTGTGTGTTTTAACAAGATTTAGGTATTAAGTTGGAAACTAGTGTCCTCTGTGAATTGACAGTTACGCCCTATCTAGAAACCCCTTAGTCTGATCATTAGCAAAACATTTGGACCTTTAATTCTTACCTGGCTACTTACACTATTATCTTAGGGTTAATTCAAATTTCTTTAATAATTACCAGGCTTAAACCTAAATGCTGCTTACAGCATATACATTTAGTAAAATTTAAAAATGGGCAGATACTTCTTTTAATGAATTGGAGGACCCAAACTAAGTATGACGGTATGCTAGTGAAGATTTTGCTGGTTGATGCATAGTACATTTTAACTTATATTTCAGGAATTGTTCTCAAGCAGGAACACTCTTTTACATATTTATTTCAGGCTTGTCACTCTCATAAACGAGGCAGCAAACCCAAAATATTGGCTCTTCTTATAAATAGGCGCCTTTATATAAAGAACATAAAACTCTTAAGACTAATTTCACACCAACACATGCAGCTTCATAATAGTAGCCACCTCTCCCACCCCCACCAAAAAAAAGATAAAGTATAATTAGTCTTTCTTATTAGATTTTTGTCTTTGATGATATTATGTATTTATGTGTAGGGTAGTAATCACAATTTATCTTTCATCTTCATTGTAGTTGAATAAAAGTATTCTTTATTTGAATAATGTGAAGTTGGGTCTCAAACCTTCATTTAAGAAATTGATGAAAGGTTGAAGACAAAATTCACATTGGAGGAAAATTCAGTTACAAAACACTGGTTTTAACTGGGACAATATTTGGATTAGAAAACCATCTCTAGATAGAACCTACTTCTATTTATTTTTAAACAATATTTTATTTTTTGAAATAAACCCAGTGTTGTTTTATTTCCACTTTGATTGTAAAAGGACATTCAATGCCTGGTACCTATATATATATGTATATATACATTTGAAATTATCAATGGTCCTTTTTTTTTTTGGTTTATATTGAAAATATTGTGAGGGGGAAAAAAGACATGCTTCAAGTTATAATGTTAATTTGAAGGTAACCGGCCTTTCAAGAATTAATTTCAGCCAAAGCAATAATCATTATTTACCAGCGTGTGACATTTTTATCACTCATCATATTAGCAAATTTCCATTGAAAATGCTAAAATGGTTCGTCATAAGGCAGATAACTGCTCAAGCTGTAAAAATGACCAACACAAGTGCCGGTACTCAAACATTAAATTATACTGTAATTAATAAAGACAGTTAAACTGTCTACTAGCAACAGCAATTTAGGTAACCACATTTGATCAGCTATAAATTGTAACTACATTAAAATTCCAGAAATATTAGCAATATGGATTACTTGATAGAAGTCGGTGCTGATCACCAACTCTTTCTTTTTTTTTTTTTTTAACAACGGAAGCACAGGTCATGTTGACCACAAATCCATGGGCGAAGATCAGGCCTGAGCACTTTTAATCTTGTGAAACAAGCAATTACAAATAGTTGCATCGATTTGTTAAAAAGCTTTAGGTGACATAAATTGTTTCCTGTTTAGCTTATTGCTCTGATACATAAATGTCACCAAGCCCAGTATTAATTAGGACCATGGAACAGCACAGGGTGGTTGATATGGCGTTCAATCAAGAATTTGTCAGTCCTTTGTGAAAGTTCTCAAGGGCTGCTCTCACTGGCTCATTTCTCATTAGTGAGAGAGAAAGAAAAGGAAAAAACTGTTTTGTTATGCGAAGTCTTTAATACCGGCTTGATTTTGGGTTTTAAACCAAATCGCAGGATTTCAGACTTGCTTTCTTACCATTTGACATAAAAACGCCCCATTTTTAAAATATCTTCGAAATAGAATAATATTTGCAAGGCATTTCAGCCCCTGAAAAGCTAACACTTTTTTTCCCTTTTCAATATAGGGTACTATATGTGTTTCCTTGGGTTTATATTTCTACACTTAAACTACAATTTTAAATGGCTTTTGCACGCTATTGACTTAACATAAATCAAATGTATCATATATACTTTCTTTAGGTTGGCATGCCACTTAGAAAAATATGTGAGATTCTGGAGGAAAAAAGTCTGGAGAAAATTTATTAAATAGAAGTTTTTACTGTAATAGAATATTAATGTAAGCCAATGCTCTTTTGCCATTAAGCTGATCCTTTTTTTTTTTTTTTTTAACATACACATGCTTTTTATTATTTTGCACTCAAGCAAAAATTCCACATTCAAAGACTTTCCATCTAGTGGGGAATGTCTCTGGCAAGAAACATGTGAAGAAATCATGACCTCCCCAAAACAGCAGACATCATCCGCACTGAGCATTCGCCCCACTAGGTAGGGAACGCGAGCCCACTCTCCCCAAAACGTAAGGTAGGCACTGGTCACCAGTATGCAAGAGGCAGAAACAATTACTCTTGAAATCCTTCCTCACTGCTTCTCCACCAGCGCACAGATGAAAAATGTTTGATTTGCAACATAAAAGATTCATTAATTACCACTTGAATATTTAAAGCTATTTTGCAGTCTAACAGAGATAGATAAAGCAGTGAATTAAAACCTCTAATAAAATTGTAAAAATATTTCGGTAAGTTTACCCGTGTTATGATTTCAGAAGAGATTCAAGCGTTCTCATGGAATCGAGTCTTAGCATTTTTCAAGTGTGTATTTGAAGGAAGGAGCTAAGTGTTCGGGGAATAATTTGTTTCACATTTTCAAATGTTTACTAATAATTTATTTTTAAATCAAGCTTGCTACTTTAGGATTCTATGGATAGAAAAAACAAAATCTGCCAAGTAGGTGAGAGCGTTATTTGTCTCACCAGAAATTTAAATTCTTTAGAAATACTCAGCTGGCTGTGTAAAAGAAAACTTCAGATGTACCCCCTGAATTTAAAGACAAAAGTTTTTAAAAGTATTTAGCTGGGCTGAAGGTTTAGAAGCCATATACGTAAAGTAGTGATTTCCTTCCCACAAAATGCATCACATCTGAAAACACTCACCTCAAGAATACAGACTTGCGGCCCCTCCCACCCCCTCACAGCTCTTTCCTTCAATGGATCCGTGATCCATTCAGTGTTTGGATCCAGGTATCCTGGAAGTAGACCGTGCCCGGCACACTCTGAAATCAAATGCTAGAGAATCCAAATACCAGGCTAACCAGTGCCAGCCCTAACCAAAAGAAACCGGGTGACTTTAGCAAAGTCACTTCATCTCTTTGGTCCTCCTCAGCTTCCTCTGTTAATTGAGGACATTTAACTAAATGATGAAAAGGGTTCCTTCCAATTTTAAAGTTCTAAAATTTTAATAACATATTCTCCCTTGGGGACTTCTCTTGATGAAATCCATGGTCTCAGCATAAAAGAGTAGTGTGGTACTTCATATTTCAGGCAATATTCTGAGATAGTCTTGTCAAATCCTGCCTTGTAACTTGCCCTGTCGGAAGGAAATTTCACTAGCATGCATGTTTCTATCCACTCATCTATCATCCATCCATCTACTCACCCACAAATAAACATTAAAGGCATTAAATGACCGTTAGCTCGGAATAAGACAGACACAGCCTTGGCCTCATTGTGCCTAATGGTTTACCTGGAAAGAGTTGCAGTGCACGCAGTGCCAATGAGAGGGCAAGTACGGAAACACACAGGAAAACCACCTGCTTCCACTGGGGACCATCAGGGAAGCTTCCTGGAATATGCAAGGTTTAAGTGAAACCCTAAAGATGCCTAAGCCTCTGCCGGCTAAAGGGAGGGAGGGAAAGTTCTAAGCAGAGGGACGAGCACTCTGGCAGGACCTGGGGTATGAGAGGTGTAAGTCTTTCTGAGCAGAGGGAGGCAAAAAACATAAAAAGATGCTGAATAAGGTCATCATTGCAGTTACCATCTAATAATAGTTAATACCTCCAAGTGCTCTATATGGTCTAGCTCAGTCATTCCTCAGGAGGTGCTACTAAAATCAGCTCTACTTTTAGATTAGGAAACTGAGGCACAGTGAGGTCAAGAGACCTGCCCAACCCCTCAAGACCTCTTCTTCTTCGGCCACACTGGTCATCTTGCCTTTATGGGCTGATGGATTTGGAGGCCCAAACCCACCAAG